ATGTACGTGGCAGCGAAGTGTACTGCGGAAACAAATCGCATGTGTTTCTTCATGAACAAGCTGGTGCGGCGCAGATAGCTGGAGCGAGCTTCCACATTTTGCCTAACAACGATGACGGTACGTTCGATCTAAAGACACTCGAGAGTGCGATTCGCGCGGATCGGATACACGAACCGATCTCGAAGCTAATCATGGTAGAAAACACAATAAACGGAAAGATCGTACCTCAATCATGGATTGAAAAATTGGTGATAATAGCGAAAAAGCGTAATCTTAAGATGCATTTGGATGGCGCTCGACTGTGGAATGCCTCGATTGCGTCGGAGATCTCGGCGAAGGATATAGTCGCTCCATTTGATTCGGTTAGTTTTTGCTTGAGCAAAGGATTGGGTGCTCCTGTCGGATCCATGCTCTGCGGAAGCAAGAGCTTCATTGCTAACGCGAGAAGAAGGCGCAAGGTATTAGGTGGTGCGATGCGACAGGTCGGCGTGATCGCGGCCGCTGGACTCGTCGCTCTGGAGACAATACCACGACTAGTAGAGGATCACAGAAGAGCATGGATTATCGCGGAGACGATCAATGATTTAAATTCTAAAATATTTACTGTAAATATGAGGACCGTGCACACCAATATGGTATTCGTGAATGTGAATACCGACAGCGGCATTTCCGCTGTGACTCTCATGAAGAGGCTCCAGCAAGTGAATGACAAAGTGGATGATCCCTGTGAAGACGATAAGATTTTAATCAGATGTCTGGCTGTCACGGAAAATTTGCTTAGAATTGTTCTTCATTACGATATCGATGATATGATGGTCCATAATGCTAAGCGTAAATTAAAATATGTCATCAAGGAATTGGATCCCCAAGTAACAATTTAAATTTTTGACGAAGTTTTTTAAAAGCAATAAATTAAGAAACTTTATTTACTTTGACATATATACTAAAATATTTCTATATTAAATAAAATATTTTTAATGGCTGAACTTTTGATATTGATAATAGCATACATAATTCTCTTTCAAAATTTGCTAAAAATATAAATTATAAATTAAAAAAAAATAAATTAGAAAATGTATTGTGGTTTTATTGTATTATATATATATATATATATAATAAATAAAAAGTCACGTTACAATTTGAATAAATACCGAATAATTGTATCTTGAAACATAAACATTCCTAAATAAAATTTTCATATATATATCTATTAATCAAAGTATCTAAATTTCTATTAATTAATTATATCAAAAAGTATTTGATAATAAAATTCCATAAATCAAATATTGTATTGAAATCTTCTTATTTATTTTCTTTATAATACTCGTTTCCACAAAAATTTTCTTAAAAGCAATCTTACCGATGATGGGCGTAAGCGTAATTATGGAGGTTGTTAACTTTGAAACGCATCATTAACAGGTTCATCATCATCCTCATCTTCCTCGCCCTCGCTTTCAAAGGTATTATCAGGAATATCGTATAGTCGAATCATAGGCTTATTTGGATCCTTCATTATCAAATATTTGCCATCCTTCTGCTTCATGCAAATGTCGATGATACATCTTAGGATGCCCCATGCGTTGTCCATATTCAAATTAATTTGCGTCGCAAATTCATTCGGTTTGTACTGTTGAGTACCAAGAATCACGTGTTTGCTCGAGTCTCGCACTATGGCGCGTGATACATATCCGAATTTCAGCTGATCCGAACCGGCTAGTAACGCCTGAACCGTCCATTTGGCGAGTTTACAGGCGTTATTGCGCAATTCGTTAGCCAAAACCGCGCCACGTTGTGTGTCTAGCTTCTGACGCCATTCGACTCCATTAGCTAGCTTCGAATCCCATTCGTTCAATGCTTTGATCGTCAGGAATTGGTTTTCATTATTTGGACCTTGCATCACAGCATCGTGCTCGCATCGGGCGACAAGGACTATGCCATTGTTAAGATCCCACTTACGATAACGATAAGCCACACTGGCCACATCGCTCTCCTCTTCCTCTGCAATGAATGGATTACCTTCCTCAAACTTGTATCGTGATTCATTTGACTTGAGCACCTGCTGTGAGAAATTGTGATTAATGAAAGTCGCCTCAAGAGCCAAGTTTCTGGGTGAATTCAGCGAATTGCCGTCGTCCTGTGGCGGCTCGACGCTGGTCTCATTTACAGTCAAAAGATCAAATTCGGTGTTATCTCGTTTATCAAAGAATAGCTTGTCGCCAATCTTTTCAATTACGATGTCCCACGAATAATTACTACGTGTACAGCACATGATAGTAGCCAAGATTGCATCAGTGGCATATACATTGCCCTCAGTTTTCGACAATTTTCGAACTATTGGATCATCGGTAGTTGTGACCGTGTGGAAAATACGATCAATTCTCTGCAGTGGTTTCTCGCTCTTGACATTCACGCGATCGTACGTTTTGTCATAATATTCAAGCGAGCCGCAGCATGATATATCTTCGCCATCTTTCACGCCAGGCAACGAAAGCTTAGCCAATCGGGGAAAGTCCATTTCTTCGATAGTTATCCAGTCAGGTCGCACTGTTACAGAAGCATCTCGGATCTTGATAGGCGGCTGATTCTTATGATTGCGCAGACCTTGCTGTCTACCCCAACGCTTTGTTTGTCCTTTGCGCTCCCGTTCTCGCAATTTGAGCTTTCCTAGCTGCTGCATCTGGCTCAATGCACCACGCTGACCACCGCGACCGCGCAAATTGCGCTGATTGTGACGAAAGCGGCCACGTTGATACGGCGGTTTCTGCACACGAGTGGTGTCCACCAAATGGAAGGTGGTTTCATCTTCATCGTGATAATAGGCATATTGACTGCCTGAACCAAACTGCGATGTATATTTGTCTACAAAAATAGTTAAATATTATTAATGTTATATATATATATATATATATATATATATATATATATAATTA